ACTAAAGAAGAATAGATTTAGACTAGACAGAAGAAAGAAATGTTTTACAATGAGGATGGTGAATCATAGAATCATAGAATCATAGAAGCACTGGAACAGGTTGCCCAGAGAGGTAGTGGAGGCCCCATCCCTAGAAATATTCAAGGTCAGGTTGGATGGGGCTCTGAGCAACCTGATCTAGTTAAAGACGTCCCTGCTCACTGTAGGGGGGTTGGGCCAGATGATCTCTAAAGGTTCTTTCCAACCCAAAGCATTCTATGATTCTATGAAACATTTGCCTTTTCGAAACCATTGCCTTGTGCAGAGGCTGAGGAGCATCAAGTACTGACCATGCAACCTCAAGCAGTGAAGGAAGTAGACATTTCTCAAGCTCTTTGGATGGGAGTGATTGCTGATTATCCCATTGTACCAGGAATAAAATGAACCATTTAATATGTCAAAGGACAGAGCACCTGCCAACGCCTCTGCAAATCATAGAATCATAGAATCGTTTAGGTTGGAAAAGACCTTTAAGATCATCCAGTCCAACCATTAACCTAACGTTACCAAGTCCACCACTAAACCAATTAAAGGTAGAGTAATAATTGCATGTTTCCTGGCTTGGTGGCTGGATTATTTTTTAATGAAAGTAAAAACTAGGAATCATTAAGGTTAGAAAGGATCTCTAAGATCATCAGTCCAACCATCAACCCAACACCACCATGCCCACTAAACCATGTCCCAAAGTGCCACACTTATATGTTTTTTGAACACCACCAGGGATGGGGACTCCACCACCTCTCTGGGCAGCCTGTTCCCATGCTTGACTACTCTTTCCGTGAAGAAATTTTTCCTAATATCCAATCCAAACCTTCCCTGATGCAGCTTGAGGCCATTCCCTCTCATCCTATCGCTAACTACTTGGGAGAAGAACCCAACACCCACCTCACTACAACCTCCTTTCAGGTAGTTGTAGAGAGTGATAAGGTCTCCTCTGAGCCTCCTCTTCTCCAGACTAAACAACCCCAGTTCCCTCAGCCACTCCTCATAAGACTTGCTCTCCAGACCCTTCACCAGCTTCGTTGCCCTTCTCTGGACACGCTCCAGCAACTCAATATCTTTCTTGTAGTGAGATGCCCAAAACTGGACACTGTATTCAAGATCAATCAAAACAGGAACCTGTCCAGATGTATGAAAGAGAAGCAGAGAAACCTGAAACTGCCTCCCCCACAGCAGCTGTGAGAAGCATGTGCCAGCAGAAAGGTGTTCAGAAGACAGCTTTATTTCCAAGCTCCTTACTGTTTTGAATAGCTTTTGAACTACCCCAGGTAACAAAAATGAGTTATGAAATTCAATTATCCAGATTGGAGGAAAATTATGTACAAAATTAAGCATACACGTAGAGAATGGGCAAAACCAAAGTGAAAATGCAGAGATGTCCAGGGATGCCTGAGGGTGAAGAACCAGTCTTGTAACTTGTCATTAATTATTCAATTTCCATGTTTGCTGCAGAAGATGGGTGATTAATATCTTTCATTTTTTTGTAGAAGTATAATGTAAAGAGAAGTATAATGCTATTCCTTGAGACAGCAACATGTGACAGTATTGAGACAGATGAAAAAGGGAACAGTTTCATGGAGAGTTTTTCTGTAATTCCCTGTTCATGTCTTAAATACAAGAACCAAAGCTTCAACCTTCAGCTGTGGCTGAAGAGTACTTGATGCAAAGGAGGCTCCAAGCCTGCAGACATACCCATTGTGCCCCCCTGGTCCTAAGCTGACCTGGTTGCCCCCAGTTTGATACTTAAATGCATATGTTTTAAGTGCCTGTAAGGAAGATCACGTGGGCTTAAGAAAGACACTTACTTTTAGTTTCTGTTCAGCTGCTTCTGTTGGCCAGTGCCATAAGTATAGGAACTGCTTGACTGGCTCTACATTGGCACTTGACATAAACATTGCTTCCAACATCTGTCCCCCATTATCTGTATAATGCACATTTTTTACACTCTCAGAGTCTTTCTTGACTCCTAATACACTGCAGTGTGTTCCAGTGTATTAGTAGTGTTCATCTGGGATGCTGCTATTAGCAAGTGCTAGACAGTAAAAAAATGGGACCAATCCAATGCTGCTTTCCCTACTGGGTTTTACAACCTGCAATACCATGTTTGCTGCAACATTGGAACTCTAGTTCAGGTAAGTGTGTTTAGGCTTAACCTTGTAGTGTTAGACAATTCATAAACCAGGCCAGAATTTTTCTCATTGTTCTTGCTCACAAACTCCATAGAAAATGTTAACAGTGCTCAGTAGACAAGGTGCTGGGACGGTGCATGTCAGTCTTGCTAGGAACAATCCTCAGTAGGTGAGATTTAACCTTTCTGGAGCAGAGACACCATCACATATCCCATATTGGGTAATAGTTTCATGTTGCAGGTCTAGATAAGAAGCCTCCTGTTCATCTCAGATTTCCTAACAGAAATGTGGCGTGTGCCAAAAGACTAACTGTCTGTCTCCCAAACTTACCCTCTGTGAGTCACTGAATGCGTTTTACTGAACAAATAAATAGTTAACAGATTTGTGTGGAAAAGCAGCCGAACTGAAGGAGATGCCAAAAGTTTATTTAAAGAGCATCTATTTTAGCCATGTATTTTTAAGTATCTCTACTACTTACTCCTCAACACCACAGAACCAGGAAGTATTTTAGCTAGTTTAACCTAAAAGCTCTCTCTGTTATGCAAGAATCATATAGCAGGGTGGAGCTTTTCTCACTGATACCTACATGTGTTGAAGACACCGGCAAAGACCCAGCACTGGCCGTATCGCACTGGTTGCTTAGAACTGTAATACTCCAAAAGAATGTCCACACTTCCTGTCCAGGCTGAAGGTGCGACCCCGTAAGTGTACGTATTGTCCCAGGATCCAGCAAGCACACCATTATCATCCCTGGAGTTGATCTAAAGACAAAGGAAATGAGCATTAGGGATGTCAGAGACTGAATAATAAAGAGCTCTTTAACCCAGCACACAAAGATAGGATGGGAGAGGCTGAATATAGCCAAGTTTAGGCTAGAAGTAAGACAGAAATGTTTAATTATGAAGGTAGGAGATGAACAATCTTGCTAAGGGCCATGGATTCTCCACCACTGAACAATTTTGAATGAAGGTCAGACACTTAAAAATAATGGCAAAGTTAAATCACCACACTGAGTATCCATGTTGCCGGTTTAGTAAGTTTTATTATCATTAAACATGCTTACTGCTATGTGTTTATAATAAACACGATCAGTTATACACTGATAAGCAAGCCTCAGAAATACCAAGCTGGATTCTTTCCTAACATCATCTGTTTCTTCTGTCCATATCAGCCCAGAGATTTAATAAAATCACTCCTGATATACAGCAGATTGAGAGGAGGACAAGCCCACTGTTATTTTTAGAGTAGAAACTAATTTCTTCGGTCCAGCACACATGAAAACAAGAAGGAATTTGCTGTATAAGTTTCCCCTGGTAAGATTATACAAAGCAAGGAGTTTTGCTGACTAATGGCTACACTGATAGGCATTAACGAGCAATACATCTCCTAGCTGCAATTTGAACCAAACCAGTTGAGGCTGTGCAAAAAGCTCATTCGCTCTGTACCTTTTAATTATGCTAATGTGGAACAGCTACTCGCCAGCCAAATAAATCACAATTCTCATTTAAAAGCTTTTGGCTGGATTAACTACTGTTTTATAATTAGAAAATCGACTTCCTGTGAACCCTAGGACTGAATAAAGATAAGTATTCAGAGTCATAACCAAAGGGTTAAGGGGTTGTGCCCATCTCACTGTTGTGGGAAAAGTGCCAAGAGAAGAGGCACTTCAAGGACAGGGCAGCGTGTTGATCTCCAGGTTCTCCTATGGCTGTAAAGAGACAAAGAAGGGGGTGGCTCTGCCTGCTCTGCAATGTCAGGAAGCCTCAGAAGGATCCCATCATGGGGCACCTCCTCAGATGAACTCAGCTCTACCACATTACGTCTTGAGCAAGAATGAGGGTAAGGAACATGGGAAGGACTTCAGCACCTCTTGGCCACTTCTTACTGAGGTCCAGATTTCATATGGCCAAAACTCCCACTCAGCTATGGCTTAATCCTGCAGATTAGACTTAAAGTCCATTGACTCCTGAATTTCCAATAGTGAACTTCTCCACCTCCCTAAAATGACTGAGTGGCTCAAAACCACAAGTAGTACACAAGGCGCCTTTGTGTTCGTAAACTTTGTGCTACTCTGCCCATAGGGCTTCTAGGGTCCCTGCACAATCTACTAGCCCAGTGATGGGGGAACTACATTCAATTCTTACTTCTGTCTGAAGGTCTGAAGCCATATTTCTAATGTCTGGGGTGAAAGAACTAACCAAAAGGTTAAAAAAGAAAGAGAAGCGGGAGCGCTCTCTATCCTTCTTGCTGAAGCTATTCTATTTAACTTGATGTTATGCAAAAATCAGCACTGAGAGGCTGGAGATCCCATTTCAATGTCATCTAAGACAAAGAGCTCACTGTCTTAAAGTCTGGACAAATGCTGTAACAAGTGGGTTAAAGGATCATCCATCTCCAGCAGCTATGTTTTGCAGACAGTCTATTTTAGTAGCTGACTTTGGAGAACATCTAATGACACTAGCTCGATGAATAGGGTATTCTTCTGGGAAGCAGAAGGCATCAGTTCAGACCTCTGTAAGGCAGAGGATGAAGCCTCTGCCTTCCACATCCTGGGTGAGTCTTTCGTCTTGCATACCAGGGATGGGCTGCTATTGTACCCACAGCATGACTCCTGGTGTCTAGCAGCTGGAAAGAATGGACATGTGGGAAGTCTTCTCCTTACCCTTTGCTTCTGATTATTTTAGGAACCTGCATTCTGAATACAGTAAGTTTTGTGGGCCCCATGTTTAAGAGCACAGCTCTTACAGTGCTTTCTTCTGGGGCCAGGGTATCTTATGTAAATGTCATCAGCTTGACTAGGCCATCTGAGGCTTAAAAATCAACACATGACACCCACCATGGCAGTGTCTTAAGACCCCTTTGAGGTTAGTGCTGGAGTCCACACAAAGTCTCTCAGTTCTCCATCCCAAATTCCACCCATCATGCCACCTTACCATCCATGGCAGAAATAGCTTTCTCAGTTATCTCAGCTACCAGAAAGTGAGCACAGTGTCACAAAAAATGCTATCATGCCTGGAGTGCAATGTCTAAAAGTGGCTTTCCTACCAGCGGGTACCATTCTCAGGAAAAGGTGATGAGCTGACATAAATGTTTCACCTTTAGTGGATCGAAATAAAATGCCAGACCCCAGAGGTCAGAATGGACAATTGATCTGGCACCTGTTGGAGTGAGCACATCGGGGCACAAAGGCCAGTTAAACCAGTCTGGCTGTGATTTACGAGTTGCTTCTGACACATCTTAGGCATCTATTACATACCACTGCAGAGGCAACACGGCAGATTTTGATTGGGTTTCCACGCCCAGAGAGCTCCAGTTCTGCCTTGTCCATCAGGAACAGGCAAGCATCCAGAATGTTTTCTTCAAACTGGATAAAAGAAAATAAGGGAAACAGAGGGAAAACCATGTCACCTTTTATTCTGGAAAGCAAAGGAAAAGTTATCTTTCATTGATGTTATAATAGCTGATCAGCTTTAAAATTAGCTGGTCAAGGAAAAGTTCAGTGTTTAAAAATACAAGTTTTTTTCTAGACTAATCACCCATGTATAGCCAAAAAAAGTGAGATGATGTGAGGGAAAAGAGAGTGTCATTTTCAATTCAATCTCAGTCCAGTTTCCAGAAGGTTAAAAAGACAACACAGCCTTTCTCACAGGACATAGAATTTTAAGTGTTAACAAGTATATAATAGGAAGATATTTTAATAATAACTACAAGAAGCTAGTCTGCTCACAAAGGACTTCATGACCTTCACAGATTCCAGACCTGTTAATTTTAGGACCTCTCTGACCCAGCCAATGCAATGCTGGGAAGCTGAACAATTAGTGGTTTGCCAAAGTTAATTTGAAGACACTTACATTTTAAAATTAATTTTTAAATATGTTTAAAATTGACAAGCCAAAAGCTGATTATATAGATTAATCCTGGTCTACGAAACTTAGACATCAAAAATACCAAGTGACCTAAAGTAGTCTTCTTCAAAAATAGAGTGAAAAGGTAGTTTCTTCGATCCAGCATGAACAAGCACAAGAATGAATTGAGGGCAGAGGTGCCTAAATAGACCAGAAACCATTTGTCACAGAACTTGCCCTGTGATGTATTTCATTTTCCTTAGGAGAAACTGCATAGCAAAGGAAAATACCTCTGTCCCCTGGAAAACAATAGGAGACAGGGAAATGCACATTAATGAAACAAATATCTTCTAGATACACAATCTTATATTAGCATTCAAGGATGTCACAGAAACTCCACGAACCTCATTCCCCTTGCTGCGTTAGGCTTTATGTTCAGTGCTTACATCCTTAAAGATATGATTCACACTAACAGGAATTTTGCTCTCATGCTGCTACTAGAGCTGGACTGATTTTGCAACTGTCTGCAGCCTGGCTTAGGGCTCCTTGGCAGGTAAGGGCAATCTGAGTTTTGCCTCCTGAAGAAAGTGAGCAGGAGCCCAGGCCAACCTGCTGCTTCAGCAGCCTGGGGAGAGGCAGAGGAGAAGGAAGGGTGAGGCCGGAGAGCTGAAAAGGAAGCCCTAAAGAGTCAAGACTGCCTCTGATGCTGCAGGGAAGATGGGAGGGATGGGGGTGACACCCCAGGCAGCAGCAGAGCTCTGGCATAGGCCAAGAAAGAGGAAGCACCACCGTGTTTCACCACCCTTAGCCATTTCCTGGCCAAGTCCTTTTCTTTACCTGTGCCTTGAGCCTGCCTGGCTCTCATTGCTCAGGGTACCACTGCTCTATGGATCTTTTTCAGCAAACATCCTCCAAGGCAGCACACCTCTCCCATCATCACCCGCACTTGCATTGAATTACTTTGTCTGGAGCAGATGTTCACTACTGAGTCACACCTTATAGACTGAGCAAAACTGAATTCATGGTGTTTGGGCAAGTTGGGAGAGAGGGTTGTGTTTCCCAGAGACCTGCTCCTAATATTGTATCATCCCTGGGAAGGTGCATAATTGCATGGTAGACTCTCCAGTCTACTCCACTGGTATGTGATGTACATAATCTCGGGTGAATGACTGCGCTGTAGAGATCCTCTTTCCCAAGGATAATCCTCAGAACAGATAATGTAAACTCAGGTCCCTCATAGGCATCCTTCCTGCTTCACTTTTCTTCTGGTCTGGCTCAATTATTTATCTGCTTTCTGCACTTCAAGTCATCAGCAGTGTCTAAGACCTGAGTTAAATCAATAAGTTTACCCTGCAAATTAAATCTTTCTCATCTACAGTTTATGAGACATTGTCAATCTTGCCAGCATATACAGGAAGAATAAAGAGGAAAGAAATTGCTATCAGGGTTGTTGCCTTCCACCTTAGCATTTACAAAATGACATGAATGCTTGCGAAATAACTGGATTAACAGGAGAAGAGGTAGGACAAGCTGTAAAGTCTAGCTGCCTTACACTGTTGCAGTAGTGTAGGATGCAGAGTAGCCTTAACTCTAAAGCAAGTTTTGCCCTTCTTCACTATCCAGGGATTTAAAAACATTAAATCAAACTAAATCAGTTTCCTGCTCTCACTTTTGGCTTGAAAATGTTGTCTAGAGGGAAATGGAATAGAAACATAGCACTTGTAAGGCTGAACACCCCTGAAATGTTAGAGGAACCAGAGCAGTGGCAGGCAGCCAGGACAGGTGAGTGAACTTGGACCAGGTGCAGGCACTGCCTGCTCAACTCAAGCTGAAATGGAGATAAACCAAATTCAGGATGAAGGAACTTTGGCAGAGCCACCTGCGAAAGACTGCAGATGGAAAACAAGGCATGGGAAAACACACAGGCAAAGGGGTTCTGTCTGCACACAGACGTGCATTGTGTTACAGAGCAATGTATTTAGTCGGGCTGGCCTTCACTGGGCACCCTCTCTCATGCTAACCTGTTTCTAACAGATAACCTCCCATTTACATCAAAGAAAGAGGGGCTGTATCACCTTTTGTACTGGTTGAATTAGGGCTGTATTTCTTGCAGTCAGCTGCACGCAGATGTGATCTCACGTTGCCTGTGGTCTGATCTGACCAAATGCATGTGCCATAAAATTACATGTGCACAGTGGGCTGCAAAGCTAATGCAGCTCGACGTGTAGACATGAGACAACTCAGGATGGGAACAAGAACTCTATGCCCACCTGTTTTACTTCATTTTTCTCACAAAAAAAGCAATGTTAAATGATCAATATAGTATCCAATTTCTGACATTTCTCAGCCAGAGAATTCCTATGTGCCTAGATTTCTTCCAAACCCAAATTTCACCTGAATCCCCTGTGGGCTTTTCTGAGTGACTGGCTATTTACACTTTCTTAGAAGAAAGGAATCATAGTCATGTTACAAGGAACACCTCCATCCTCATGCATTAGAGCCATGTTTCAACTGGTCTGTTGTTTTTCCTCAGACCATTTTTCTTGCCTTTCCTCCTCTCACGTTGATGCTGCTCATTAAAGACAGCAGCTGTGAGAATCATCTCCCACTAGTAACCCAATTTTGAACTGTATGTTCCTTTTTAATTTACAACCTGACTTAAAGCTTCCAGCTGTCATTGTTCAAAGCAATTTTTTAGCCTAGAACAAGTCTATCTGTATTTTTGTGTATGACTGTCTACCTTTCACCTCTATGACTGTATGTGGCCTTATGCTTTTTACTTACACTGTTGTACAAGGCTATGTGTCATAAATATAAGATGCATACATGTATGATATACCCACAATATAGGCCTTGCTGCTAGTTCTTTTACTCACTCACAGCAATGTTCTTATTCTTAACATCCAGGGTTGCTGAAAATGAGGAAGATACATGTTTTTAATGGCTGGAAATTGTCAGGGTAAGATCAGGAACATTATGTCCTCCATCTCACTGAAAGTGAGGGAACAAGAAGAATGTTTTTCCGTTGCTTTGCAGTTTGAGATGTCTGTTACACCCATACAAAATGATTGATCCTATTAAAACCCTTGGCTTGGGCCCCCTTATGTATCTGCCACACTCAGTTTTCACACAGCAAAAGGTGCACCATAGCACAGTGTGGAAATCAGGACCTCCAATTTCAGACAACGCAGGAATGAAAGTACGTGACAAAGGGATATGGAACAGTCCTAACCTCCCAGAAAGAACTACCTCCTAGCAAAACCTAATAAATAATGCAGTTTCTCTAGGGAGGCTGGTGCTTGTGTCAGGAAGGTGCCAGATTTGCAGGATATAAGCACCTCAGGCCAAGCCACCACAGGCCATAAATTTAGCACCTTAGGACATAAATCCAGCAGCAGATTTAAGCAGCATGGTCCACCTCCAGCCGCTCATTCCCCTCTCTCCCTCCCACTTACATCTGTCACAGAGTGAATCCCAAATCTAGGAACAGCGCAAGCCCAAAAAATAACCCAGGGGAAAAAAAATAAAAAATCAAGGAGTTGCTTATTCAGCTAGATCAGCTCTCCAGTCTGATTCACTGCATGGCTGCACAAGCACTTGCAGGGGGAAGGAAGGGCCAGGAGGGGGCATTTTTGGTCAACTTAAATGCACACCCAGCTTTGGCCTCAGGATCTTGTTCCACATCTTTTATATCAGAGGCACCACCAGCTTATGGAATTGCTCCCCACCACCACCTTATTTAAGGGTTATTTTTATCTCAGTGAGGATGACAGTCAGACCCCGCAAACAACAGAGCTAACACAACGAAAGGAACAGTGCAGAGGCAGGAACTCCCTAAGGCAGTGCTGCCGCAGGAAAAAAGATGAAATTGTACCCTTAAATAAGGAAACAAGAGAGATGCAAGTTCAAAGAGCTCTCCAGGACAAGTACACTGGCAATCCATCCAGCTCATGCTTTGAGACTGTCTTTAGCTGAGGGAAAGAAAGCAAAGCAAGAAGGCCCCTTCTGCAAGGCTGTGCTGGGGAGGTGCCACAAAAACTGAATGGATCTGTCACCACAGCATTAAGGAAATACTTCAATACTTTCTTAATCGTGCTGCTGTGAAAATCCAGGAGGTGAGATGAGCAGAGTTCACCGTGTCCAATAACTGTCCTTTGGAGCCCCTCTGAGTGACAGCTAGGGTTAGTTTTGCTTGTTTTGATTCTGCTCATTAATGCCTTTTCCCTATTCTCAAACAACAACTTCACTCTTTCATCCCATAGAGATTTTCAGGCTGGTTAGTGCTTACAAATAGATTGAGGTAAAATAGACAAGCAAGCAATAGGAGTCTGATGTTATTGAAGGCACACCGATACCGCACACCAGCCTGGTGCGGGGTGTTTCTCACAGGCTGCAAGAGGCCACTGGAGACTGATGTTGTCAAGTTCCAGACAGCAAAGGGATAGGTTCCCCTGCTTTGTCACTGTGGCAAGGAAATGTAAAACTCTGGGATTACATCCCAGTTTAACATAGGAACCCTATGACAAGCTGGCCCCCCTCACCTCCCAAGCAGATGAGAAAAATTTCCATCAAGTTTCTAGAACTAAAAGGAGGAGTCAAAAAGCAATACAACCTATTGCTGAAAAATGAAAAAAAAAAAAAAAATCTCTCTACTCTTTCACTAAATCAGTTTGATCCTGAAGCAGCAATAACATAGCAGCAGAAATACTGCTGCACTGTGGAAACCTCAGCTAATGACTATAACTTTCAACAGGCAGCCTATTTGTATCTGAAATATGCCCCTAAAACAAGATCTTTAAATATTAGCTATTATAACATTGCTTTCCTGAGTTAGGCATATACCCATTTCATACAATTTTAAAATTATGCCCCTTGTCTTTCTGAAGGAGAGACCAATAATGCACTCCAGAGCCCACAGTCTCAACCACAGTCTGGCATCAATTAAATTCACTTGCTGTCCTGCTGGGAGCAGCCAGAGAAGGTCTAAATAGCTCACCTGACCGTAACTCCAGCTTCTTAATTTTATCTCGTTGATGTTTCCATGGAAAACAATACCAACATCATTCAGGACGTATTCTTCCCTTTCCTTCTCGTCATCCAGATACACGGCATCCTCTGCATCAGTTTACCAAAAATAAATGTTAACACAGTCACTTAAGTTTTTATATAGGACAGATAAAAAAAATCTTAGCACATAATACAGTCATCTTTGATGAAAGGTACCCCCCTTTCATCAAACAAAGCATTACTTGCTTCAACAGAGTACAAGAACAAGGAGGTAGTGACCCCAGTTAGAAATATGATACACAACTTAAAAGCATGCAAGATGCAGAAATGCTGACAACTCCTAACTGTTTTCTCAGGATCTGTAAAGTATGATTAAAATGTCACATCTTATCAAGAATCTTATGATTACTGTGTACCACTAATTTAAAAGTTGGAGCACCATGATGCAATTCTGCAACCATACAAACAGATCAAAGAACAATTTCAAACTTATTAATGTTAATAGAAAACAGCTCAAGTCAAGAGATCTAAAGAAAAATCTGTAGTGCATTAAAAAAATTGGAATACAGTTTTTATAGTGTATTAACAGAAGGGTTTGATTGCTTTCTCTGTACGTAAATTATTGACTGGAGTGTCCCTCCCCCATGTAGCTTGATTGACCAGCTAATATGAGGAGAAATTCAAGCGTCCAAGTGAAAACTGGAAGTAATTGGAAGAGATCTTTATCAAAACATATACAAAGGGTATATCCTAGATTGGTCTTATATAGAGAGGCAAGAGTGTATGTGTGGACCTTCACCCTGCAAACATGATTCACATACGTAAATAACCCATTATTAACATTCATAAGTAACCCTGAATGACATGAAACCATTCAGATATTCACAGGTAAGTATGAAGCACGTTGTGATTCTGTGATGTTAGAATAGTTGAGGACTTCTTTCCTGTGCCAATGCTTGTATTTTGAGACTAAGAGATACAGCTTAACAATTAATAGTATGAAAATTAATTAATTTGAGGAAATCAGTAATGTGGTACCAGATAGCAAATTAAAGGGAAGCAATAACCTCTGATAGTTTGATACAGGCAAGTACAAAACTACCACTCACTACTGCCACAGTGGATTTCTTCAGCATCCCACTACAAATTACTAGAAGATCATTTCACTTCTAAAAGCCTATTGATTTGTTGTATTTTGTTGAAATGCAAATCAGATTTGTATTTCCTTGTAAACCTCATCCTCAAAAACTTCTTCATTTGCCCATAAAACTGCAGTTTGGCTGAAAATAAGCTAAAATCTGAGCCCTCTGAAAAAATCAATGGCAAAACTCACACTGGCTTCAGCTAGGTGAAGGGTTTTGCCAGTCTACACACCTGACCCTGCTGGAAGTTTTTTATTTATATCCCTACATCTATACATACAGAAAGGATTATGCATAGATATGTAACATAATGACCTCCACAATGGTGTGCAAGGAATGATAAGGAAGCAGGTGTTAGATGTAAGAAGCCTTTATTGCACTTGAGGAGATCAGCACTTGCCATTATGCTTTTGACAGGGTTGCTGTAGAGGCTCTGCAGACTACATCCGAATCCGAGCAAATTGACAAGCGGCAGGTTTTATCGGGTTTTCCCTAAGGCGAGTAGGTCTGAGACCCACTCTTGGATTTGGTGGGGTGGTGGTATTCACCCACCTTCTAAGGGCTGGGTCATCAAGAAGTGCCTTTATAGGGTTGTCACTACCCATGACCTAGTCAATCTGCACCCAGGCACAAAGTGGAAGATCACAGGTTTATTATATTCAGAAGCTACCAGGTGAAAAAAGTGTTAAAACCTGACAGTGAATCAAAAAGCTATAGTCATTTATGCCAGCAGGGACTCTCATACTTATAAAGCTGTATATTACATTACTTTTTTGAGGTCCAACTCCCAGCTCTAAACAAGTTCTGCATAACATCCCACCAAAAATATTGCAGACATTACAGATCATCTAGGCTCTGTTTCATTAGGCTGGATCTGCCTGATTTGCTGATTGAACAATTACACATATTGACTCACTGAGCTTTGGATTTTATTAAAACACTTCCATAAAAATGGTACAGAGAGCACTTTTAAAGAATGAGAACTCACACCTTCTTCTGTACAGTTAGGCATTCAGTGGAGTGTGTGCATGTGCCTTCCTGACAGCTGTTGTTTTCTTTCAGGAATTAAAAATATCAATATTGATCTGGTTGGTATCAACTGAGATGCTTATGTTATTTTGAGACTGCGTGATCTTTGCTAAATCAGATGAAAATTGATTAACTTCTCTGTCAATTATTTTAAAATATTTGTGTTTTTTGATAAAGTAAAAGGGCTTCTGTGTTTCACAGAGAAGCCAGCTGCTTTGATTTTTTGACAGCTTTCACTACCCTTGAGACTGTTTAGAAGAAAATACGAGGCATTTGTGACTACTTTGATGCTAAGCGTGCTCTACATAGTACAACTCCTAATTATTTTGTGCAAGTGGAGGCTCACATCTGACAAACAGAAGAATTCCACGGAAATGTGCTGGGTTTGTTTGCTCTTTTTCTCTAGCAGTTTAGGAGGTTTTTTTACTCACTTCTTTTATCCTGGGAAATCACTAAGACACTAGCAATGCTACAAAGAAGCAAATTAGCCTCTATGCTTCTCTGTTTGAAGATGGATAAGGTGAAAACACACTTCATGTGAAGACAGTACTGCAAGTGAGGAATCCCCCTGAACTAGGCTCCCTATAAAAGAGATGAGGAGTGCAAAGAAGCTCTTTCCCTTTGGGAAGGTGAAGGGGCATGGGAGGACACTACCCGGTATGAGGGGATCTCCTTCCGCAGCACAGCAACTGGCTGGAGTTGGAAATGCTATTTCTTTGTGCAGACAGTGACCACTGAGCACAGCAGCACCAGCAGATGCGTGGAGGTAGAGGCAGCAGGCTTGCCCTGAGCACCCAGCCTCCCCTCAATGCGCTCCCATGGGAACTCAGGAGAGCAAGGCTGGGCTTTGTTGGAACCAGAAAGCTCCCAGGGCTCTTGCTGGGAAGAGGACAGTGCTGTGGCATAAATGGAGCTGCAAGAGCTAAATACAGTTATCTACAAAGCCCACCTCACCCAGGACCAAGCTCAGTATGCTTGCCATGCAACTGCTAGTGCTTGCCTACAGTAATTTATTAGAGACATGAAGCTCTGTGTGAATTTTACCCATGTGGAATCTATGATACAGGAGATCAAATTTAAGATCTAGCTACAAATGCCAGAAAATGTTATTGTGCTAAATTTGGATGACTGATAACACATAAGAAGAGTCCAAAGTCAACCACATGTTACTAATCTTCAAACTGTATTAGGAGATTTGAAATACATAAGCAGAAGAAATGTGCAATTGACTCAATAAAGCTGCAATATATTTAACCGCTTAAATATAATGCACTTTGCAGAAGGCTTGGTTGAATGAAACACACACCCTCCGCCCACAGAATCTGCGACCTATTCACATACACTGTGCATCTCCACCTGTGAGAGAGCCACACAAGTCAATGCAAGGTCTTTTCCTGATAGGCACTGAATGTTCCTCGGCAGTAAGTTGCTGGGGCTCAGCACCTCCTTGGAAAGAGCTCACAGTATTCATATCAAAGAAGGCTCTGCTTTCACATAGTCTGATACTGCTAAGAGTTAAATTAAATCCAAGAAGTTATCCTTAACTACTTGCCATTTGTATCTTCTGTTTCAGAACTGAAGAGGGCTCTGCACGCCCAGAAGCACATCTGGTTTTCCCAGCTATGTCAGCTGGCTGAGGAAAGAATGCTGTCTCTCCTCAAAGGCTTGCTTATTAAGTAACTCAAATTTCACCTGAGTGTCTGAAATCTCAATCCACTAGCTCGCATTCCCAGATGTTTGGGGCTGATCTATCTAATTTTGCAGGATCGGGCCCTACATCTGCATCTGTAAACTATTGTTGGTGATCAGCTTTAAATGTAGCTAAGGAGATTAAAACATATGAAAGTATCTGATGATTTTGGAAGCAAAGTACTCTGTAGCTTGGCTGGTAAAGTATTCAAACTTGTTCTGAAACAGCAGAAAAAAATCTCACATCCCTGGCTGGGAAGATATGTCAAAACTGAACTACAGTGAGAAAAAGAGTAATAAGAAAGGGCACAAATGCCTCTGTCTTAAAGAAAAGCTTATACCGACACATTGATGTTCCTCCAAAATGATGAGTCGGAAAGCTGCACTAGACACTGACAGAGCCCGTACTCCCCTCCCTGCTATAACAATCCCCATTCATTCCTGGCATCAGCCTTCTCTCTTTTTAATGAGGCTTTTCACTCAGACTTTTCTGCTTAGCTATTAACCCAGCAAACAAGTCTAGGAGATTTTCAAACTATTGTTTTCTCTGCACTTTAACTGCCTGAGTTTTTATACCCTTTTGTCATTCCACTGAACAATCTTTTCCAGCCAGGGGATACAGCGTGGAGAAAAAGTCCCTGGCTTTCTAACACAAGAAAAAGGGGGGAAAGGCAGATATAGGAGCCAATTAGTCCAAACTACCTAGGAGTAAAAGTAGGGGCAAGAAATGAGAATAAATCCAAATCCAAATCCAAATGAAACATGCAGAAAACGAAAACTACAATAGTCAGCAAGGGACCAGGACCTGAAGTCATTGAGACACACCTGAACATGTAAGCTGGAGATGAAAATGTGGTCCTCCAGGGGCGACCCCGAGTTGCCTCCCCTGGGCCTGGGCGCACGCAGCACATCCTTGCTGCCCAGAGACTCTCTTCGGCTTTCCTGAAGCAGAGCTTTTGCATCAGCTTTGCCTATGGCTGCCGCTGGAGACAATGCTGCATGTCTTGCTCCCTGTAAGGTTTGTTCCCATGCTGTGGTTTTAATCTTGCTGGGTTTTGGCCCCGTTCAACTCAGGTGTGAGGGAGGGAGGGCACAGGAGAGCAAAGCGCCTGTGTGCCATGAACAGATGTGGACCAGTCAGCACACAGAGCTGGTGGGGAAGGAGGTGAGAAGAAGGGATTGATTTTCCCTTTCCACACCCTGACTAGAACCTTGAATCAGCCTGTGTGGTCCCAGTCACACAACAGTGGGCCAGCCAAGCCCCCCGCATCACATTTTTTCTCCACATGATGGCTGTATGCAGACCTAGCTGGTTTTATGCTAGTCATGAGGCAACCTGAGGTAATTTAAGAAGCTTTTTCTCTGGGGTTTATCCCTTCCAAGGAGGTGCTGAGCTACTGCATAGCCACTGTGCTGACTAACAATATGGCTGTTATGACACTCATGACTAACCCAAGGGATGCTCTACCTTGGGGTGGAGAATTGCACCTCCCTAGCTGGAGCTGTGGCAGGCTGATGATGCCTTCACAAACCTTGAGCAGTTTTGTCTTCCCACAGTGGGTCATAACTTTGGTAATTATTCCTCTCTTTCTGTTAAACACTCTCCCTCCTCTCCCAGAATAAACTCTTAGTGTGCTGCTAAGAGGTATATACCTCTGTGCTGCTTTCAGAAGTATCTCATGGTGTCGTGGGACCTTGGGTCCTGCCCTTCCCTCCTGTTCCCACTTAACTAACTCCGCTTTACTCAGCGTTAACATATATCTTCCTAAATAATGCATAAGCTAATCATTGCTTATATTCCCTTGGACCAGGGGCAAGTAATGAATTCAGCACAAATCATTCGATGTACTGACAGTAGTGCAGCTGAATAATGGACTCTATTAATAACACTAAACTTACTCGTCACTTGGTAGGATGGCCCTTGTTTGGTACGGGATTATTTGATGTAAATACTCTGGTAAAAACATTGAAAGATGAAGGAAGTGTGATGGGAGAATATTAAAATTAACTGGTGACCTAAATATATAGCGATATATATGCCAGACTTGGAGCCTTACAAGTGTCGGAAGCTGAGACACAGTGCTACAGCCTGTCAAAAGGCTGAGCTAACCCTTCCAGTCCTCCTTGCCCTCTCCTTAAAGCCACACTTGGGGTTCATTGGGTAAAATACAATTCTGTCAGCTTAAGGGCTGATTTTACCCAGGATCCAGGGAGATTAAGAAAGAATAAATTGTTCTTCAACCCACTGGATTATAAAAAAAGGCCCATTTGCAAAATGTTCTGTTCCTCACAGAGGACAGGGTTGCTGGTAATTAGTCACCACTAAAGGGGAAGTTCTAAGGGCAAATGTCATGTAGCAGTGGGAAGGCATCACCAGCGATGCCGCAGCAGGTTGGCTGCATCCAGCCTGTGCAGGAGCAGCAGCTCCCATTGAATTCCTGCAGGCTTTCAGCTGCAGATGTTTGATCCTAAATGTGGCAATCAGCGATGTAACTCAACAGAACATGGGACAGTGCCACATCCTGCCCCACACCAAATCCTGGAAAAAAACATGCCTGTATTGACTTGTCACTTTAAGGCACACACAGGCAGGCAGGAGGCTCACGCTGATGCCTGTTAAAGTCAGAGCAAAGTCTTGGGGTATATTTACTACAAGAAACGGAGCATCATCGTGCTGCCCAAGCTGGTAAGCACAGGCTTGGCCTCACAAAGCTGCAGAGTGCAGCTATAGCACAGGCACAGGTCTGCAGCATGAAGCCCTGCTCACACAGGGCTATTCCCCAGCCCGAAAGACTTGCCTCTTGGCAGAGTTACTGTATAACTTCCAGACCCAAACTGGCTTGTCTCCAACCACCTTGGTACCAAGCTCCGCGTCCTGGACCACCCCCTCCCAAAAACCAATGAGCCTGGCAGCAGAAAGTGTGAACCTTTGACTCTGATGAGGTACTTACGCTGGCACCAGGGATTGAACAGGATGTAAGTATCAGTTGCAGAGTTTCTCTGTGTCCGGAGGATGCCAAAGGGAGTCCAGACAGCAACGTACAGGCGAAACTTCCCAACAATGCAGGTAGCAGAGGACATGATGGACAGGCGAACAGAGTTGTTCTCCTTGTGGATAATCTTGGCTCCCCAGCTGCCAGGTTTCAGCACATCACCTACTGGGATTGGGATGTAGGTGCCTTTGTTTTGCTGTGGGTAGCGACCTGGAGAGAGAGGGGGGATAACTCCATGAAGAGGCTCACCTTGTTTTGACAGTCGCTTCATTTCCTGGCAGTCCCTTTGTGTATTTCAATGGAGGTGGCAGGTTTTAGTGGGCGGAAACCACCTCCCCCACCAGAGCTTCACAGAGTGCCCAGTCACTTGGCAGTACAGCCACACGAATACATGCAACACCTCCCAGTAGGCAGCCTGTGCAGACACCCCCACCCACCTCGTTCCAGCAAGCTTCAGCCTTGCTGGCTGGAGCACTGTCAGGAGTGTAGCCCTGGCAGCATGAGTAGGGGCTGTCCCATGCTTTCCTTGCTCACCACTGTTTATCCTGGTGCAGAAAGCTGCACTCCAGCTTGCTCCTTGCCTTGGTGTCAGCTACACTGTTAGTAACTTTAAGTAAGAGCCCCTTCCCCAGTTCAGATGCAACCACCACCCTTGCCGCTAGCCCACAAGTGCCCACTGGGGCACGGACATAGGTTTTGGGGCTCTTTAGCAGAGCAGAACCTTGTTCTTCTCACTGCACTACTGCGCTGATAAGCAGAGTCTTTCATGCAAGTCCATGCAGATGGAGGAAATACAAGTCAGTCCACCAGCAGATACCAAATACTCAGTTCCTCCTGTGTGTTCACTCCTCATGGATGGAGTGGGAACCAACTCTGGACACCCAAAGTATAGATAAGCAAACCTGGGCTGGATAGCCAAACTTTTTTTGCAAGAAATGGGTCCCAAAGTATGACACACCTCCAAAAATGACACACCTCCAAAGTACTGCACGTGATAGTCTACCTCACAGTAAGACAAATCACACCCCAGAGAAGTCTATTTTACTCTGCCAACTATAAAAAGCATCTAGATGGATAAGCTACATGTAAACATGTACACTGCCAGGATTCAAAGTTGTGTGAGGATCCACCCTTTGGGCCTGAGGTAGAGCCAAACTATGTCTGGAAGCCAACCAGCTGCATAGACAGAAAAGACACTTGTGAGAAGGCTGAGTTCCTCATCTCATTCTCAAATCTATTCTTCATTTTATATTTTAGGCTGAAATTCAGACTGTCGTTCAAAAATAGGGCAATGAAAAGCAACGATGGCAGACACAGAGACAGACTTCTATATTTTTCATTCCTACTATTTAAGAACTTCAAAATTAAACTCACAAGGGCGTTGATTTTCCTGCTTGCTTATTTTTATACAGCTGGTGTAGAGATAATCCCAGATCTGAATACTGCTGCATTCTGGGAAAGGACAACTTGAGCTTTGAATCTGAAGCTTGTGAGCTGCCACAACATTGTGTTTCTGAGAAATCTGGGGCTACTGTGCTTCATCCACAACATTATTCAGTGCACATGAATTTCCATTTTGCAGATGTTCAGTGCTCATAAATAGCCCACTTTGCCCTGTGAGCCAGGGATGCTGTAACCCATGAAACCCATTCAGATCAGCGAGGGACACAACAGAAGGCAAAGACCTACAGAAGAAAAAAGGACTAGAATAAGAGACCAAAATCAATAGAAAACACTAGAAGATAAAGCACTGGACACTTCAAATATAAGCCATCAAAGGAAAGCCAGACTAGAGAGAAGAGTCTGTAGAGGTAACAGAGATGAGAGTCTTGTGCCTGCTAACAATTGCAATCTGAGAGCTGAACATATTCTTGTTCTTTGTAGTGCAACTGGGTATGACCTAGCTTGCCTCTACAGTTGATATTTTGCTTCGAGTTTTGACATAATTGTTTTTTTAAAAAAGCAGTCCACGCAAACGAAGCAGCAGAGCAAACCAAGTAATTGAACTGACATCCTTGAAAACTGTTAACAAGTGCTACTTTTTAAAATACCTCCTTTATCTCCTTCAGAAAGGTAGGAGAGGGGAGAGATTACTATTTTAATGTGGTTAGGAACTGACACTGTCATCTTCACTGGAAACTGCACGCCAGTGTAGGAGCCCACTGGGGATAGAAGGAGCTGTGCTGTGGCGGGGGCTTTGCACCACCATGTCCGTGTGCACCATGTGCACATGGGGAGGCTGCAGAATCACTCGCCAGTAAATCTGTCTATAGGAACCCAACAGGATTCCAAAGAGGCCATGGGGCCTTTGCAGGACATCCTTATGGAAACCCTCTCACTGGCACCTCATAGCAGTTTTGGCAAAGTACCAAGCCTCTGGTATTCTCACTTTTCTGAAACCTCAACACACACAACTCCCTTTGCCCTTCCAAACAAAGGTTCCTCCTGCATGCAAAGCCACAAGACACCCTAATCTACCTGTTGCTTGACAAGGGAGCACCTGTAGCTGCTGCTGAGGAGTATACAAGGTCCTTTTAGCCTAGAACCCGTGCATGCCCTACCCAGCTGCTCCCATCTGGTAAGAGAGAGAGGTCACTGCACTATCTTGCTCACCCATGAGGAGAAGGTGCTCTGGGGTATTGCCTGTATCCCTGCAGACATAGCAGGGGTGTCAGAGAAGGCATATGCTAGAAGTCATGATGATTTGCAGATGTTATAAACAGTAAATACAAAAGAACATCCTTTGCTTCTGACAGACAAGCAGGGTTCAGTGCTCACTAATGGTTGCATAAATCCTGAACACACGAGGAAGCCTGGGAAGATGGGCAAGAGCATAGTGACCAATTGCCAATGTTTTCTTTGAAGAGAGGACAGGTTCCCTAATCTTCTGAAACAAAAACCTAAATGCAAACGGAAGAGCAAGGGAATTGTTACTTCTGACAGGAGCTTGTGGAGCTGAATTGTAATCACACATCTAGGCACCTGACAGCACCAGCCATACTAGTCTCATATACACACATCTGTTGTCTTGATACTAGAGTGCTATAAAGCTGAGTAACTTTGGCATTACATGCTAAGGTTGCTGGCAAAAGAATCCTTACATAGGTTCAGTACTATGTTTATCAACACCGTAGGGAAGTCCTCTCAGGATGGCTTGGCCATTTGACTTTTATCATCTTGAGCACACATTTCTGGCTGCAGTGGAAAAGTAGGGCCAACTTTGGCTCATAGTTGGGATATCTGTAATGTCAGCCCTTTCTCAGAAGGGATAATCTGCAATGGTGATTTCATTCTCTGGGTTAGAGTCTCTAAGGAAGAAGATTCAATGTTATCCAAAGACTCATTAGCAAAAGCCCGAGAATGCCTGGCAGAGCACTCTCTGCAAGATCTCTGGTGCTAACCCAACCCACGGAGAGGCAGGAGGGTGTTTGGGTGCATGTCAGGACCAAGAGCCATGTAGAGAAGATAAGCTCTTTTTATGCTGACAGGAGGGTGCTTCTGCCAGCAGCATCAGCTGGCTCAGGATCCCTCTCGCTCTGATTTGCTCCAGGAGTTGGCAGCCTGAACCACGCTCTGCAGCCAGTTCTTTGTAGTTAAGGGTGTAGGAGGCCCTGGCCCTCACATGAGGACATTTCACAGCCAATTGCTCTGTGAAAGACAAAGTTGTTGCGTGACATCACACTGTTGGGATGTCCCTCTCCACTCTCTCTAACAGCATATGGACATGGGAAAATCCAGCCTGAGAATTCAGAAAGCCTGAAGGTTGCTGCACTGTTAGCACCAGGCACAGGATGAAAATTTTATAGGCTTCTTTTGCAGCTCAGAAGATATCAGGCACTGAACAGGGGCTGCTGACTGTCTTGCCTTCAAGGCAGGAGAGGACAGGAGAGAATTCACAATGGTCCTCTTCCATGGGCCTCCAACTCTCTGCATTTCAATGCTAGGTACTGAGCCACAATACTGCCAGAAGACTTTATTTTTACAGACAGCTCCCTTGTACAGAAGGTTTAATGGCCCAAACATATCTATTTCCCCTGCCTCATAGTGCACAGGCTTGCAACCCTTTGGTACTTCTTTCTTATCCCTCCTTGGTTTCTGTAGCTATCCAAGCTGGGCTCCTAAAGCTCCTGTTCACTTCAGTTGCAGCTCAGCTCTGCTCTACACTTCCTGGGCTTTCTAGGCACCCAGGAAAAGAGGAGCAAAATAGCTGCTGTTGCTATTAAAGGAGCTCAGATCTCCCTCAGTGCTGCATCACAAGGCTTTGAAAGTAAGTAAATATGAGTAAAGGTCTACATGGCGAAATGCATCATGACTGAAGGATGTATGGAGGTGGGCATGTATGGGATGCCCCCCGCCGTGCACACACACACACACACACACACACACTTTACAGGGGCAAAAAGCAGAGTGCAGTGTTTGTTAAAGCTTGCCGAAGTCTTATTTACGCAGTACTAAAAGAATGAGCCGTCTAAAACACAGAACTGTGGCCACACGCACATGCATTCGAAGTGAGTTATTTTTAACATACACCTCAGGTCCTTAGCATGTCAGCTCTGGGCCCATCAGGCACAGAGGCAAGCTGTGTTTAATTCCGGGTAAAACTGCTGCACCAGAGAGGGATTTACAGCAACAAAGGGAGAGCGAGAGATAGGTACAGCAAGTTCAGCTGGCAAAACACAAGTGCTCCTCCAGCTACCCAAGGCTGCTGTTGTTCCTTCCAAGTGATTAACAGGGACCAGGGCCTGCTCAAACCACACTCTTCCTCCTCCCTTTCCCAGTCCCTGGAAGCCCCTATCTCCATCTAGTTTAGTTTTTCCCTTGATCCCCAATGGACATACACACTGCTGTATGTGTTTGTGCATTAAACAGCTCCTAAATGCCACTGCTGAGTTAGCGCCGTGCTGTTAGCACAGCCAGCGGAGGGAGCGACGGGTGTTCTTGGATAGGCCCTACACAAGTAAGCAGATGTTTCACTTTCAGCAGGGAGGAGGGAAAATTTGGCAGCACAGAGGTCAGAGATATAGTGAGCTTCAGAGGACATCTCCTCCCACATTTCCTCCCTGATGGAAGTAGGATACCTCAGAAGAGAGGGAGGTGAACAAAGCTATTTCTCAGTACTCTTTTTAGGAACCCTCCTTAGAAGATTGTTTTTTAAAGAAGTCAAGGAATCTGTCTCCCTTTGGGACATACATGACACACAGTAAGGTTAA